TATTTATTAGAAAACCTTTGTGGCTCCAGTAGTGCCAGAGCTGTTTTCTTACAAGTCCATTGATTATTTATCTCAAGCAAAAACAATAAAACAAACTTCAACTTAAGTCTGCGTTATAAGAATTTTTTTCCACTAGTTATTCCACGGAGATAGAATGACGAATAAATCCTACAAGACTTTCACCTCTTGTTGGAATTAATGTTGTGCTCGGAGCTGAATCTTCTCGTCTGAGCTTTTATTCCAAGATCCTCACTACCAATTCAACTTAAAAACTGAGAAACTTTGACTAGCGTACGGTAGAAAGTAAAAATAACCACTCCAATTACCTCGTTACTATCTAAATGGGTGTACAAACTTTTCTAGCTTTGCCGAGATAGAAATGAGAACTACACGAAAAATGAGGCACATAAGAGGGAATCAGGAAATAAAGGTAACAAATTAAGGCAACGAGAGTGTTGCGAAACAAAAGACTTGATGAGGAGAAAAATAGCGCAGCTCGAACGTTTGAAAACTTTGTGCATTAATTACAAAGCAGAAGAAGAACATGAAATCACCAAATTTTGCGAAAAGAGAAACCTCGACGTACGTACGGCGAACAAGTCACAATTCTTGTTCGCACTCGGCCCTGCATTCATATTTATTTACTGAAGGCAAGATTTGGCCCAGGAAGAGAATCACATCGAACTACTAGCACAGTTCTGAGAAGAAATGAAATTGATTTTTTTTAATCGCCGTTTTCGAAGACGTCACTGTCGTGACACCTCATAAAGACTTCAAATTTAGCATTCACGATGTCGTCTCCAAAGAAACCGTCGACCACAAATGAACTTATTTTTTTCTTACAAAATTCGCGTCGGGCTCCATACGTGATCCCTCTTTAATGAAAGTGTTTTTTTTTTTTTTTTGAGTGCAGCATGTGAAGGCAGCATTGTGTTCCAACGCGATTAATTTGCTGTTTTAGTGCATGTTCCTATACGTACAATGAGCAATGTGGTGAGTTTACGTTGCGTTGCTGTTTTGAAGAACGATTGAGAAATAAACAAAGTTTGTAAACAGACGTGCAGAACTATTTTACCCCTCATTAAACCTTTTTGTTTCTCGAAATTCTTTTTGCGTTCGACATCCAGTCGTGCTACGATTTTCGGTCCCTTCAAACTTACATTTGACGATATGTTGAGGTCTGATGAAGAATTTGCAAAAAAAAAAATACAGTACCACCATATAGTTATGATTAACCATGCCTGTTTCCCGCACGGAACCAATGTTTTAATTGAGTAACTTTATGTATTTTAGGAAGGGCAATTGAGTATGATTCATAAAGGAAAAGCATAAATAATTGTAAAAAATACGATGACGGAATTTTTATGGTTCGTCTAAACACATCACGAGGTCACCAAAATAGTATTTTAATGTCAACAATATGAAAAAAACCTTTATTCCCTTGAAAGCCAGAAACAAAAACTATCACAGTTCCTTAAAGTGGGATAAGACTTTCAAGCATGCTTTTACAAAGTTTCCGAGAGGAATGTTCAAGAAAAAATACTGAAGAAAATCTCCCAACGCGAACTTTGTATAAAAATGCGGTGGTGAAGAGTTAAGATTTCTTGATAACTGATATTTTGTTTTGGATCATGTTATTTAATTTGCTTTGACAAAACAGTTGAGAATTCATATTTGTAGCCCGTTTTTATTTTGTGTTTGCTTACTTTTCAAGAGTAAACTACTTAGTGTGTTCAAATCTTGAGACAATTTTTTATCGACATGCGAAAAATCTTAATCAAATTAATCTCGTGCTTGTAAAAAAGTAGTACAATTCACTTGAGACGACTGCAAAAATAAAACGAAGTTTCGCATCTGGGGAGGAACACTTGAAGTTATAATCAATACAAATTTGTTATCAGATTTCATCTCAAACAAGATAAGGAAGAGGAACTGGTAAATAGATTTTCAGTTTTAGAAGAAACCAGTAAACATTCAAAACAGACGTGGGAGTGATGGACTCTCCCAAAGCTTTAAAAACAGGTAACCTTTCAAAGTGTATTCACCTCATTTGAATTGCGCAATTTTCCCGGCCATTGCTAATCTGACTGTCAAAATGAGTAGTCAAGATCAACAGCATTAAAAAAAGGAGCTATATATTGTGAAATTTTGTTTGTTGTGCAATCATGATAGATTGCAGAAATACAGATACAATACCGTGCATAACGTTTCATATCAATAAGAATCTCTTCATTGGCTTTTGGAATCTCTATTCGTATAAAAATCTTAGGAATAATATTCTATTGCAACACCATTACGGTTTCTAATACCAAGTTATTCTGATGATTCACTTTCGGTCGCAAAACTATGAAAAGTCAAACGTTGAGTTTGGAAAAGGCTGCTTTGATAGGCTGGGTCTAAAATAGCGCGCTTGCCTCGAACTCACTGTGAATATGCATCAATAATTCTTAGAAAAACTATACTGACGAATATCGTAGAAACAACTGTCCTAGAATGCCCCTAACAGCAAACCGGTCCATGGCAAATGCTTCTTCTGCTGATTATCATCAACTAGAGGGACAAATTTCTTTTTAGAAAAGTAGTTTCGCCTGCTTCAACCTTCACAGAGGATTTACTGTCACAAAGAAACAATTATGCACGCACGGTTAAGCGATAAAAACAAGTTTTTAAATTGCAAAGAACCACACTATATACACCACATCTTCCTTAAATGTCACGAATTGAAACTCAAGAGCTTTATACGGAAGTTGTTGATCGGTTTATGTAAAATTTGGATGTACTCTCTTTTTATTGCATCACGAACAATTACTTAGAACATCTACAAACATCTCCAATAAAAACGAGAGCATATTAAATTACTGTTTTTTTTTTTATCAGAAAAATGATATTTACACCCGATTAAAAAATGTTTTCCAAAGCATGTGACATTGACGAATGAACAAAAATCAATGCAAAGTTTGAGAATCGTCTGAGAAAAAATAAATTGGTATGAATTGAGATACTTCTTACCTTATATTTGATTTATATTCTATACTTAATGTTATTGCGCCTTACCACTTTTTTTTTATGTAACTAGTGCAAAATCTGAATCTGTCTAAATCCAGACTTTTAATGAAATATCTGGCACACCTTTGCAATGAAACATTCAGTTGTATAGCGTAGGATGGCGCCATTTACGAGTGATAAAAGGATTACTGCTTAGTGGAGTGCGTAATGTTGATTCCGCGTTACGCTCTTTGACTGTTTGAACTTTGGGTAGGGAGTTCCGAGTTCCGAGTTCCGACACCAATGTGAATAATTATTTTAGCATACATCACACAGATACCAAAAACTTTATTTCTTTCAATATAGCGAAAAATGGTCAAAAATAAACTCTCCACGCGCGATTTTGTTCGAAGGTGAAAAGTACTCATTATTCACTTCCAAACTAGCCAATCAACGCGCGCGAAAAGTACCATATACCGGTGCGGTAGACATACAATAATCTCTATTTGGCGCGAAAATATGCACCGATGTTTGTCCGTGGACATTATCTGTCCCACGATGCAAACAGTTTTCCGAGAGCGAAGCTCGTGGAAAAGTGCGAACAGGGTGAAAACTAGGTGATGAGAATTAAGGAAATATCAATTAGGGTATTTTTAGATGATCCATCTTAACATTCTCCAAAGTAACATCGCAATAATTTTATGGGAGACAATAAATAAAATTACTTATGAGATCGTGGGAGTGAGAGGGTTAACTTGTATTTCCTCTTTTTCCTTTCTTTCTTTCATTTTTTTTTTATTTAATTCTAGTCATGGAAGGTATCGTAGACGACCGAACAAAGAAAACCCGAAAAAGACAAATGTCAAAAGCTAAAAGAGTCCTAGCAAACCGGCGTGAAAGAGAACGTGTGCGAAAAATGAATGACGCCTTTGAAGAACTTCGAAGCGCCATTCCAAATTATGAGGATACCAGGGTGAAAACTAAGCTAGAATTGCTACGGATTGCCACAAACTACATCCGAAGCTTGAAAGATTACATCCAGAATTCTGTTCACGGGCAGGAAGGCTATAACATTGCGGTGAACTCCCACATGTTCCAGCCAGATTTTGAAATGGAAAGCAGTACAGCTAAGTCATTTCCACCTCCGTTCCCAGCTGCGTTGCCACCAGCTTACACCGAGTTACCAAATCAGTTCCAGTTCCCACAACAGCATGTGGGCCAGTTTCCCTCATCAGTGTCAAACGTTAGCATCTCTGAAAGCTCTCACCAGGAATTTTGCAACCTTTTGGCGACGAGCCTTGCTGATTCTCATTCAGGGGAAAATTTGCTGTTCAATCTGCAGGTAAAAAAGAAGGAAAACCAAGGAACCGGTTTGGTTATCCAGACCGGTCTGACTATTTATCGCCGAGGGGGGGAGGGGTGGGGGATGGGATCGGAGGATTTATGTCATGTCATCATGAAATTCACCTACCTGATTTCCCCATAGGGCTCTTTGATATTCCTTAGATACCTCTCATTGGCAGTTAATTACCGGTCAATGTTCTAAATCCCCCTTTAAAATGCTTTGTTGGCGACGGCTGATTCTTCCTCCGTTTCTCCTGAAAACCGTGTAATCCCGAATATCCTCAACCCCCCCTCCCCCCCCCCTCTCACCCCTTTGCTGATAAATAATGACTGGTCCCTAATACGTTATTTTCTTCTTTCCTGTTGAGCCTTTTCTAACATCTTTTACCAGCATGCCATATACCGCCACTATCTAGGGGAGGGGTTGGGATAACAACAACAAAAAAACAAAACAAAACAAAATTGACGGGGAACCTTGTTAAAATATGTTTTTGGGTTTAAGCTCCGATATGTATGGATTTTGAAAGACAAAATGTTTTTCTTGCGTGCCTGAGCCGGAGTAGTACTTGAGAAAAATAAAAGCGAAAAAAAAAAATAATAACAAACGACAAACAGACCAATTGAAGGAATAAACTTGAATGGAGAATTATAAAGAAGGTAACGCAATTTGGATTTCGTTGGATGGGGAATGGGAACAAGTTCGATTTTGCCTTTCATCTGTATCTCCCCGTTACTTTAAATTCGGATCGAGTTTTCCCCTCTCTCCCTAATCTCCGCAACAGGAATTACCAATCTAATGCTTGCGTTCTTTCATGGCGGCTTAATCCATAGTTTGTTTTGTTCGGCCAGAGTAGAGGTCAAAATTATATTTTCATAATAAAGACAATTGTTTTGGGAAGTGATTTTTTCATTAGGTGTATTGTAGAAAACATCAGGTTATTTTGATAAAACAATGCTAAGAAAAGTATAAATTTGGAATATGACTTTTTCAAACACTATATTTGCGCATTGCATCGATTAATTTTCGCAACGACTTCGGAATTCAACTGTAAGTTTTCTATCTGTTCAACAAAAAGAAAGATGTTGATTAGTTTTTCAAGCAGATTTGTTGTGGACCCACTCGGCTGTGCATCGTGGGTCCACAACATTTTGACCACTGTGATGACGAATATTGTTGTCCGAGGATAACAGTTCAGACCACGCAAACCACTATCCGGACTCGTTAAGTTGACGCTTATGTGGCTAAAGATACTTCCTTTCAATTTCTTAGAATGCAGCCTCTACTTTATGTGGCGAAGGCCATTGAAGATGTACAAGAAGCGGACACTCTAGTGCATCCGTTACTATAGAGAGATTATAACTTCAACCTGCTGTTACCGCTGTCAAGATCGTCTGATAATAGAAAGAGTTTAAATAGCAAGTTATCATGATCGTATTGATTTTATTTTGAAACTTAGCAAGATCTTATTTCACAGTCATTTGCATTAATATCTCATGTGTCGTTCTCTTGGTATAAACTGTGTTGTATTATAGTCAAAACCCGTGTGTAAGAACCTAGTAATTAAGAACCTTTTTGGCAGAAATTTTTGGATTTTAATACCCAAAAATATAAGAACCTGTTTACCCAGCAAAGGCTGCATGGTTCTTATATGAACAGTCATTCTGGATAACGAAACAATGTTGTAGCAAAATATGTCTGTAACTATAAAATAAATGTTTTCTATACATTTGATATACTTCCATAAAACATGTCACAATACAGTTTCCCCACTGTATTTATGGCTCCCAGTTATGTATTAAAGCAAGTTCAAAAAGATGTACTACTGGGCATAAACTTCTAAACTGTATAATTAAGTACGTTGTTCAGTACACAGTGTATTGTACAGTATAGTATAGAAAATTAAGTCTGGCATGTCCTCACGTCTGAAATATTGAGGCAAAGAACCTATTAAGAACCTGTTTTGCCTAAGTTGTCAGTAAGTACCCCAAAACATAAGAATCTATTTTGCCAGGCATGAAAAAAACTAGGTTCTTACACGCGGGTTTTTACTCTTACTAGTTACTGTGGCATGAATTTAGAGCAATATCAATCACGTGCCAAAAGAATTACTTTTTCGTTGTATGATCGGTTTGAAAAACACGCGTAGAAGGGCAGCTCATCACTGAATGTCAATAGTACCAAACCAATGTTATCACAACAACCAATCACAACACAGGTTAACATCCTAATAGCCCATTTCCGAATTATACTTGGCCTCTTTTTCAAAACGAGGCCTGGTGCTCAACCATTCTGGTGAAAATGAGTTTAATTTGCATGTAAATGAAAACTTATAATCATATGAAAGGATGAGCACCAGGACTCGTTTTAAAAATGAGGCAAGGGTAATTCGGAAATGGGCTATAGACCAACGAGAACTCGGAGGTAAAAAGAGGCAACTTGTTTGAAGTGCAGGAAAACGCGAGTGACCAAGTTGACATGATTGGTTTTAGTCTAACATCTGATTGGCTGAGACAGTGGCGCGATTTTTCTGGACGAATCAAAGAGAAAAACCAAAGAAACACCGGATTACTTTCGACACTCAAGTGAAAATGTGTCTGTCCTCTCAACCAAATAAATACAATATGATTTGGTCACTCGCTAAATAAGGTCGCTTCCTACAGATGTTGACCTTTGCTCTTATTGGTTAACGCTATTGTGATTAAACTGTTTTATTTTTATGACATGTAGAAAAAAAAACGCCGGTCTCATCATTTTATCGTCACTTGACCTTCGACTTGCGTGCATCGCGTTAACTATTCGAGTTTACCCTTTCACTGTTTTTCTTTCCTTCTACAGATTTCTTTTACCGTTTCAAATTTTCCTATGTTTCGCGTGGCAACGTTTGTTTTCTATGTTTTTTTTTTAATTTTTTAGGCGGGAAATATCTGAGGCGGCATGGCTGGCTAAAACTAATCCACCTACGGCATGCCCGACGTTTGACCGCTGTGTCTCGAAGTTCAGAACGACGAGCGGTAGTCGACACAATTCCTAACAATGTGTTAAGTTTTCCCCTAATAGAGATGATAGAGAAAGCTCTGGCGAATGCCTTTTTTTTTTTCATTGTATCCACTAGCTAAGAGCCTAAAACAGGCTGACTTAAGTTATGATAAGAACAAGTGAGCGTAAGCTGAACTGTACGTATTCTAACTTTTTTCAATCCTCGGTTCGAAATATCATACTTTTTACTATGCATTTCTTGATATTTCAGTCTAGAGAAATTGGTATCAAATAAAGCAAATCTTAAATCTTCCTTCTTTCTCCTAATCCATCTGCTTGCAAAGGTATTGGAAATTAAATCAGAAAATATATCTGATATTTCCTGGGGAGACCAAAACACGTAGAAGCCATATACTTAAATAAAGAATGCCGAAAACTGCTAAAGACGTATAGCAAAATTTCTTTCTCCCCCCCCCCTCCCCGCAGAGCCCGTTAGATAACAATTGTTGGTCAGTCTTTACGCCAGAGTGAAAAACTTTTGAGAATAGAATTGTTGTTTTTCATCGTGGGTTTATAAAGAAATAGACGTTTAATCGTTTGTCTTACGATGCACGTAAGAATCAGGCTGCTCAATCGGAAGCGTGTATTGATCGCGACATTTCGACTGTTATACTGATAGTCTTTGTCAAGCGACGAAGCCGAAAGTTTACGTGTTGCCATTTATGGCACCTTGGTTTCTTATCATTGGTGTGTTATGGGGCAATGTCATTGGTGCATTTCGGTCCTCATTATTTTTCCGACTATCGTATGTTATTCCCTCATTGGTGCGCTTTGTTCCTGATCGGCTGTTATGTTTTTCGATAGTAGGCATACATGCTCTAGGAATTTCGATTCTGTTATCTCTATTGATGTCATTAGAATAAAGTCTTATGTGGATGGCTTCTTAAACTCACGGCTGAACCAGTTAGAGTCATGATCAATGAATTTAGATTTTTCTCATATGCGAACGTGTCCTGTTTCATCGGCGTATTCTAAAATCGCCGAATTCTGAATGCGAGCATGCTGTATGTCTCTTTGATGCTCTTTAATTCTCTTTTTTATCGCCAAAATTTGCACAGATTTTGTAAAGAACGTCGTCCCGTATCACTAACTTAATGGGATGTAAGTTGCACCAAGTGTAACCGGAGCTTCTTGTCAGATTTAAAGACGGTGCGCACTCCTTTTTGTTGTTGGAGACACCTTAAATGAAGGGCAAAACGGCAAAAGATTTGAAATCTTGCGGGAGCTCTTCATTTGTTGGTGATCTCTCTCTCTCTTTATTTGCTTTATTTTTTTGAGAAAACATGACAACTTGCTGGAGTCTTCTCTCCTTTAAAAAGCAGCAAGGATAGTCAAATTATGACTTGTTTGGTTATTTCTAACTTAAAAATAAATTTGAACTTTTGTCTGTCATAAATTGAATTATATCAGCGACATCAAACGTAAGGACGGTAGACTGGTATCCAGCTCTGAAACGTCTTTCCTCTTAAACGATTTGATCTGCACTGAACGTGAGTGCAAGAATAAGTATGCGTGAAAACAACCTCTTATGCTAGATAGGGAAGTGACTAAGGTGATCTGTGACCTCGATGGAACAATTTTCAATTAAGATGTCTTTTAAAAGACGTCTTCGATGTTTTTTAATAAATCGATAGATATGATAGCTATGGTGGCTCCCATGTTTCATGCTAACACAGCTGACGCGAGTGTCATAATGATCACAAAAACCCCTACACTGGACACAACGAATTTCAAACAAAATATGTATAACGCGACAACAAATGCTAATTGGTGAAATAAGATAAATAGACGTAAAAGGGTCATTACCAAAAATATCGTCAGAGCATACTGGTACGTGCGCTGGTGACGCAATTTGATGAAAAATCTGCCATGTCTGAATAAACATCGCTCAAAACCATATTAGAAATAGTTTTAATAAATGCGTATCTTAAAACTTAGGCGTCATTTGTAATGTACAATTAAAAAAAGACTTTCGTTTCTTATTTTATCAGAGTGATTGTAAAGAGTTCTTTATCGCGTAACCAAACTAACAAGATGGCAAAAACATATCTAATAGGTCGGTTGGTTTGTCGGTTTTTACATATAAGATAGCGAAATATTGTTTGTAATAATAACCCTCAAATTCAGTTTGATATTGATTCTAGTTACATCAGGTGGACTACATTGACACTGACTTTGAGAGTATGATAAAGGCTTTAAAACTAGCTTTGATGAAGCGAATATTCAGTGATAATGAAAGTGAATGGTAGTTCTATTCTATGCACTTTTCACAACAACTTTTTTTTCATGTTTGAATGCAATTAGGCAATAAAAGATTTACAAATTGTAAAGCTTGTTGTTCACCGTCGTTTTAAATTAGAAGTCACGTAAAATGCGTGAGTAGAGCGCAACGAAGCTTACTTTTTCATGACAGCGGGTTTTCTATTATTGTTTCTGTGTCTTGTAAGTATCCTTAAGTCGTGTCGTAAGCCTAGCCTGTCGCAATTGGTGGTTGCCCAACGCGACGGCAAAGTCGAACCGTGTAAATCAGCTATGACGGTTCAGAACAGAATGTGCTTTTGAGATTGGAAAACATCAAGGAAAAAATTGAACTTTCGCCGTCAATATTAGGGATATTTCCATTTGTAAAGAACAGGGTATTTCATGCTTTGTTTTTCAGTCACTTTAGCACTCGAGGGAAAAGTTAAGATGTCATGTTACTTGTCTGAATCGTTCATAACGTTTTGCAATATTAAAAAAGATGCCGTTATAATTAATTTGGATTAATTCTGCTAAGGTAACGAAGAAATGCTGGGGAATTGAAGGTAACTACTGAGTCGGAGGAAATGAATTTTCATTGTCAGTTAATTTCTAGCAAAGTAAATAGAAAAAAAAGGGGCAAGAGTACCATTTTCCGAAAGCCTGAGGAAAAATTTCCTTGGATATATTAAAAAACACCTGTGTACTGCTTTTCAGGAAAAAAAAAATCATCTTGATTCAATGATAAAAAACGGTGGAATAGAAAATTATCGATAGATTATGATCACGTATGGTAGCTGAAGTTCATTAAGAGTTTGACTCGGTACAATAGTCATTGGCAATTTTATTCTCTCAGGAAATACCGTGACGTTGCAGTAAAAGATAAAAGTGTTATCCTTGGCATTATCACCTTCCAAAGTTATTCGAATAGTAACCGATCTAAACCTTTTTACCTTGAAACGACGAAACATCCTTATTTGTTCAGAGGGAAAATGCTTTGTTTTTTAGATTGAATTGGACATATTTGATCATGAAGGGAAAGAATTAAACAAACTGACCGTTCGTTTGTTCACGGCTCGTTACTACAGAGGTATTGTCAAAAAATGATTGCTTTAAGCTGACTTATTAAAAAGAGAAAATAAGTCACCTACCTTCCTGTTACCTAGGCAGCAGCTTTTGAACAAGAGTTTAAAATTTTTTTCGTCGCAAGGGAAAGAAGCCATTTTTATTTCAGGCAACTAAAAAGCAGACTTTGATGAAAATTTACGTAAGCGTCCGAAATTTGATTATATTTACAGCGAGCTGACACGAAATTCAAAGACACACAGACTTCTCAAGTTTTTGACAACTAGACTGAGAAGGAAGAGAGCTTTTAATTTCCTTCTGTCAAGAAGTGCCACAAGTCAGGTTTCTTACGGTTATATTTAGCATTTTAAGCACGTTTGACAATTGTTATCTGACCTGAGGAAAATGGGATGGGTCACGTCTTCAAAAATGACGAGACCACCTTCCCAGATGTTAGCTTGATTAAGCAGCCAATCAAAGTCTCCTTTTGTTCGCCTTTTTTTTTCGATAGAAAAACCGTCTACAGAAGACAAAGGTTGCTTCAATCATATGTTAGACTATTTGTAACGCTAACTTATCAAAGACAAAAATCTGATAGTACTAAATTAGCGATGAACTCCACAAATGCTACAGAAAGAAGGCTGGCAGAAATGATGTCATCATTCTTGGGAGAGCCAATTTGTGGCTCGAACTTTACTTTCAGAACAGAAGTTTGCCTCAGTTCAACCGCGGTAATGTCAATAGTTGCTTCCGCGACTGTTGTAGGCAACTTTCTGCTGCTATTGACTATTTACCTCAACTATCGACGTCTTTTTCGCACTCCTTCTACATTTTTAATCGCAAACCTTGGCTTTTCAGATTTGCTTGTCGGCTTGCTGGTTGGTTTCCCCGTCGCTGTGAGAGATGTATACCGTTATCATGGTGCTAGTCTCGAAGGAATCACGGAAATCATACAAGTTTGTGGGGGGCTGACGATGTTTGTGAATGGTTTCTCTATCATCGCATTGTCGGTGGATCGATACATTGCCGTGTCAGACCCGATGCGATACCGATTGAGAGTGACAAGGAAACGAATCAAGATATTTTTCACTCTGTTGTGGATTTCTTCAGCTTTATTGTGTTGTTTACAATTGACGGGTATTGACAAGAAAGTTTACGTCACTATTTATCTGCACACCCATGCTACAATTCCCATATTTGTTCTGACAGCGGTCTGCATTAAAATGTTCCAAGCCCTTAAGAGTCATCGACAGGAGATGCAAACTCTGAGAAATTTTTCATTTCTAAAAAGGCAGGAAATGGAACGAGAGCGAAAAATGGCTAAAACAGTTTTCATAATTTTAGTGCTATTTTATCTAACTTTGCTTCCGTCGTACATCACATTGCATGTCGTGCATTTGTACCGTGGCTCTAATTTTGAACTAAGATCAATATTTCGCCAAGTCGATTTTATAGCCACCAGGTTCTTGTTTTTGAACTCTGCAATCGACCCATTTGTTTACGCATGGAGAATCCCTAAGTATCGCGAAGGTTTTACGAAGATTGTGTCTTTTGTGAGGCATCGAAAAAAAACCGAAAAGATTTCTAAGGGGAATGACGTTGTAGTGACGAGAAATGATGAAGAACTGTCGGTTCAAGACACTTATCTGTAGAATTACACTTGAACCAGATAATAATAGTAATAATAATAATAATAACCATTACCAGCGTTGGGCTACCTGATGTGGACGCAACAATGGCTGGTGACAGAGCTTAAAAAGTTGGATAGAGAAGCTCGCAAGATAATTGTTGAGAATGGTGGAAAACATCACAGCGGGTCAACTGCCATTTTATACCTGCCAAAAGAGAAGGGAGGGAGAGGCCTGCGTTCGATCGAGGAAGAGTACAAAGTAACGAATATAAAGGCGGCAGTGAAGTTATATAGCAATAGCGACCCAGCCATGGCGATGGTTCGTGAGTTTGAAGAGAGAGCGGAAGAGTTAGGACACAGTTCGTTAGTTAAAGTGCACCTACACCCCAAATTTTTTTTCTCTTAACGAAATAAGCTTATTTTTTGGAGTATTTCTCTGCAAAAAATTATTAATCTGCTCAAATTTTTAATTTTCTGTGCCCAGTCAAAATACGGAAAATCGGCCGCCATCTTGCCCCACGACCGAGTTTAAAGAGGAATGGCTCTAGCGGGTAATGTGACGTCAAATCGAGAACACGAAAGTCTGCATTTCACACATTTTCGCTTGTTTGGGAAGGTTGTCGTCGATATTGTCCGAAATATGCCGACTAGGTGTGTTGTATGAGGAATGTATGAAGCGCGATACCCTCTTGCAAATTTCGCACGTTGCTACATCCTTCTACAACACACTTAGTCGGCATATTTTCGGACAATATCGACTACAACCTTCCCAAACAAGTGAAAATGTGTGAAATGCAGACTTTCGTGTTCTCGATTTGACGTCACATTACCCGCTAGAGCCATTCCTCTTTAAACTCGGTCGTGGGGCAAGATGGCGGCCGATTTTCCGTATTTTGACTGGGCACAGAAAGTTGAAGATTTGAGCAAATAGAAAAATGTTTGCACAGAAAAACTCCAAAAAATACGCTTATTTCGTTAAGCGAAAAAATTTTTGGGTTAAGGTGCACTTTAAAGAGGCAACAAGGTATGCAGATGAGATGGGTCTTCAGTTGCAGCTGGAATACCCAAGTCCAGCTTGCACAAACTTGACGTGATAGTAGAGAGGTGATAACAGCAGAGAATTTGAAGGTAGAGCTGAGAAGGGTTTTGGAAGAGAAGACATGGGAAGCGGTGCATGAGCAGAATTGGCAGGGGAAATTACTCTCTGCGAGAACAGAAGACGAGAGTCTTAACTTCAACGGATGTTATTGGTGGCTAAGCAGTTGGAAACAGTTTGCAACACATACAGTGGCGGGGATGTTTGAACTCTACGAGAAATTATTACCAACGAAGTTGTATGCCTGCCAGAAAACGCACACAGACCCTACGGGTGAGGTGAAGTGCAGGCTATGTGGTAAGACCCCTGAAAGTGTCGCCCATGTCTTGGCTGGTTTTACCACCCTCGCACAGAATAAGTATCTTACCCAACATAACGCAGCCTTGAAAATACTTTTCTTTGAAATTCTGCACGACCTAGGCCTTGTAGACACAGTCCCCCCTTGGTACTCACCATTGAAACCGAAGCCAGTGTACGAGGCGAACAATGCGCAAGCATTCTGGGACGTTCCGTTATTTGTGGAGCACCAAGAAGTTAGAGCCAACAAAATAGATGCACGTATTATCGACCATGAATCAAGACGAGTCATCACGCTGGAGATGAGCTGCCCATGGATTACAAATTGGGGGAAAAAGAATGAGGAAAAAACCTCGAAATACGGACCGTTTCGTCGGGAATTAAAGCGGAAGTACCAAGGATATGACGTGAAACAATATATCATCATAATGGACGCATTAGGGGGATGGTGTCGTGACTTAGAAGCCGAAATGAAGGAGTTGGTCGGAAACAAGAGTAATGGAGTTCTTCAAAATAGGCAGAAGGCTGTGATCTCGGGAACACTAAATATCTCTCGGACATTTAAAGTTGTAACATGAACAATGAACATCGCGTACTATAAACTCTTCACCATCAAAAATTCTGTGGATTATTAGAAACTTAAGAAGTGATCGTCACTGATTAACTCTTTCATAGCCGAAATAAGTAATAGGTTTTTAAAGAATTTATAATGACTATTTCAGATTTGGATACCCGAATAGCTTATCTTTTTTATTTCTCGAGGGTTTTTTTTTTTTCGTTCAGTATATATATAGATTTTGATTTCACTGTAGTTAACGGGCTACGCTCATGCGCCCCGTCATACTATTCTTATTGTATATAGCATACAAAAGTTTAAACTGCTGCATAATAATAATAATAATAATAATAAAAATCTAAGAAAGGCTATTGGATACACGCCTCGGTTAGTAACGATAATGACAACACCAATAATAATTATAATAGTTCGGTTCTCTAGGATCAGACTCGTATCAGACCCAAACTAACTTTGATAACAAAAACGACCTACATATAAAAATCGCGAAAGCAACTACTAGTTCGTATTGAAAGAATTTCAGAAAACGTGCATCGAAATTATCCTTATAAAAGTAAATTACATCAAGAAAATATATAAGAAGGGAAATGACACTCTTACTCTAAAAGGCTATAATAACAAATTTTAAAAATGTCTAGTCTATATTTGCCATAGCATTGTCAACTAAAAATCTGTATCGAATGTTTCAAATGTTTTTCTCTTCACTTATAATAATGATAATAATAATAATAATAATAATAATAATAATAACAATTTATAGATAACTTATTGGTTTAATTACATCAATGCTGGTAGATCCTGGTATTTCAAAGTTAATTACGTCACCTTCGTTAAATAAAGAATATAATAATTTTTAAAATTAGGTTAAAAAATTTAATAGGCAATAATTTTCATAAATGCTCTACAATACAAAACATTAACAGCGTAAAAACGATCCAAAAATAACTCACTTTCGGCTCACATCTACTCCCTTTTTTTTTTTTTTGTCAAAGCGTCTGGAAAACTATAAACAACGGAGTCAAATCTGGACAGATTCAAAGTCTAATAATCTGAGAAGTAAAAGCATATCTAAAACTATACAGAAAAGAGAAAGGTGAATAATAATAACAATAATAATAATAATAATGATAATAATAATAATACAAGGTTTCTGAAACTATTCAGTTTGAGGATTTTCTTTGCTCCCAAATTACAAGTCTTCGCTGTCACTTTTTGTTCCTGTTTCCTTGCTGAGGTATTATTCCTCAAAATACATCCCTTATAAATTGTTTGCAGCTTACTCAAAGAGAAATATGCAAAACACGGAAAATTTTTTACCAAAGAAACGATCAAACAGATACTTAACTCATCAAAATAAGTCAACAATCAAAGCCCCCTAAAGTTTCTTTCAAAATTATAACCTCAGCCTCAACTGAGACAGAAATGCTATATACGCTAATTCGTGCCTACCTTTTTCTTTTGCGCCACCATATACGATTGTCAGCGTTTTTGTTAAAAAAACACACGCGCACTGCATGTGAGATTTGGCGCGTCGATTATCAAGATGGCGGTCAAGTTGGGACCATGAGAAAACTTTCCTTAACTGGACCCTTTTGAAACATGAAAAGAAAGCTGCCATCTTCGGCAAAAAGAAAGGGGTAAGATAAAAAAAAAAAAATCACTTACTGGATCTATGAATCTTCCACGATAGATCAGCTCCAGCTCTTCCGTGTTAGATCAGTATTGCTATACAAATTAACAACCAAACTTAAATTTTTCGCTCACTGTATCCGACTTTCACGTAGATGCTAAGCTTCTGTAAAAGGCCTCATAAGTAGCGTTTTCAGACATCTGTATGGAATTCTTCACTCTTGTTAGTCTAAATTAATGGAACTGTGAATAGAATTAAACGAACTGTTGTCGACTATTATTTAACTCTTGAGTAACACTTTTATCCGATAGAAATCAAGAAATTACAAAATTTTTCAAGAGTCTGACATCTAAAGGTAAGTTGATGTCTATAAACACTTTCTTAGTCGTAATTGATTGTGGTAATATTATCTAACAAGTATTTTAAGACAAAGATTCAAAGAAATGTGAAAATGAAGTTGTTCTGCAGTGATATTTTCGCTTTTGATGACTCTTCGAAAACTTGACTTTTGTCTGCATTGCTATTTAATGCTGGCTTTAATCACTTCAATTTCAGATTTGTTAGAGAATGTTACTGTGGATGGAGCCATTTTGAAAACAACCTATTAACTTAGGTATAAACACAGAATCACTATGTGTGGTTCACAAGCCATGTTTGCTTTTTTTCTTGCAAAAAAAGAAGCTAATATTTTTGTCAAGAGATCCTTCTCGTTTAGTTCTTTATTGTTTGAAAAAGATGGCGAAGAGCTAAAACTACAGGAGCAAGACTTTCTCATATGGCAGCCAATTAACCAGGCTACTAAGCAATACTCATAATTGCAGTGTCTTTGGTCAATTTAATAGCACATTAACTGACATTTTTTGAAAAGTTAGGTGAATCTCAATGTAGTACTTGTCATAATTTTACATGTACTATATTTGATAAATATATTTTACGTTTCTTTGCAGCTGTTCGGTAATAGATCACAGATGACTTCAAAATGCAGAAGAACAAAAACATGTCGCACACGAGGTGTAGCAGTGTGTGTCAATACTGTTCTTACCACATTTTGACATCTTCTATGATTAATGGTGAACAGACCCACTGCATCTTGGAGTCTATTTGTTTTATTTACTAAAGGAGCAAAAAAAATTTGTTAGTGATGATGTCATGTATGTGTTTGCCCACTGATATGTCCTAACCCAGGATCAATCAAAATGCATGTATAGTTTAGCTCATACAGGGTAGAATTAACAGCACATTAACTGACATTTTTGAAAGGTCAGATAAATCTTAATTAACAGTACTACTCAGAATTTAATATGTGACCCTCCACAGGATTTCCAGCATAATGGTAATGACACGGGCACACTATTTTAGCACGGTAGACAAAAGAAATTTTCGGTAACACAGTAGCAGTGTGTCACGATGCACTCCTGATTAAAATTTTTCTTTTATTCTATATATACAATGAACCATGTTCGGGTTAATTAAAGAAGCTTGTTAAAGGGTGCGAAAACAAAAGCCGTGTTAGCCATGTCATATTGCACTCTGGTGTGTGAAATATCACGTGTGTTAAATAATACCCATGTCAGAACAAAATGTCTGTAAGAGATTGCACATGCGAAAAATTATACTATCTCCATTAAAGCAACTTAATTTGTAACTTATTTTCATCATCGAATCACTGACTCATGTTGTAAACTTCACCTGTTATCTTCCAATGAATCACAATTTGTCGCATGAAACCCATTTTTCTTTTCTCAAAACGCGGAAATTTATAGCAAGATCGAGTCAAACCCATTGACACTTATGTGTAATACGATCTAACATGTGCCTACGAAAAGTCAAAATTTTGGAGAAACCAAGGAAGCAAACACAATGAGCAGTAAATTTTTAAAAATCATCTTTCTAAAAAACAAGCTCCAGCGAAAGAAGACTAATTAAAGAACTTATTTTCATCAAAAAAATTAATAGGTGCATATTTTGTTTTCTCTCAAAAATCAAGATGAAATATAAAAATTACTAAATATTTTCGCATGTGTGCAAATGAGCCTGTGGATCATATTTCAAACAGGAATATGCAAATTTGTCCATGAGTAAAGAGATCTCAAGTTCCATGGAATCTTTTAATAAGGAAGCAAGACTAAAATGGCCAAAAATATTTCGGGATGACAGATTTATTCAAAACAGTTTTTGATTTGCTGTTATAAGTGAAAAACGTACAAATTTCTTATGTGTACAAAGCCCTTGCTGTAAAATTTATCATGCTTAGATTATTGTTTACTTGCCTTCGTGGCCAGAAATTGCACAGTGTTACGTTGAAAATTCTGAAAAAACTTCGATTTGATGCAAAATCCTACATTAAACAGTACTTTTTGAACACATTGTTACTCGAACATAATATTTACTGGGCCATCAAATCGTCAAACTGTCGCTAGGCCCTGCTTGAAGTCTGTACAGCGAAAGCATTTGTGCTAGGAAGAACTTTCTACATAAGCCATCTTTTTGCTTGAAGTTAGCTTATGGTGAAAGCATTTTGTGCTAGGAAAAAACTTTTTACATAAGCCGTCTTTTTGCTTAAAGTCAGCGTACAATGAATGCATTTGGCTAGGAAGAACTTTGTACATAGGCTGTCTTTTTGCTTGAAGTCAGTGTACGGTGAAAGCATTTGTGCTAGGAAGAACATTTTAAATAAACCGTCTTTTTCACTACCATTCTTTTAATGTGCGGAGCAACTTCTAAAACTAAAGGCTTTCTTGCCTAACCTCTTCGGTTGCCTAACAACTCTTTCCGTGCTACTGTACCATATTGCATGACTTTAACATGCTACAAAGCGTGTTATTTAACACCCTGTTGAAATTAAAAGATTGAGCTTGTTAAGACGTGAAAAACAAAAGCTACTGTGACCCTCATTGTTTCCTTGTTACTAAGTGCGCATATAGGTGTCACATATCACGCTTAGTGTGGCGTGTCATCGCACACGTGCCCGTGTTATCACCATTATGCTGGAAATCCTGTGGAGGGTCACATATGATTCTATAATGGAGAGATACAAAGTACATGGTTTCTGGAGCATATTTCTCCAATAGTCTTTACTCTTTCTCTTAGCTGGCAATATAGTGTTTTTTTTTTCCATCAGCAGGCCCAAAAAGGAGTTGCAGCCCTATGAGTAAGGAGAAATCACCAGACAATAAAGAGCTCAAGGAACCACATTTCAAGAGAGTGCTAAATGGCACAAACAGCTTTGGTTCTAAAAACAAGAGCATGATTCTGAATGCAGACAGCAAAGAAAATGACAAGGGTTGCAGTTGTAACGCGATAGTTTCACCTGTTCACCGCTCACCAGTAAGTAGTGATGGACATAAGAGCTCAGTCCACAGTAGTAATCATGAAGGAAAAAATCTGGATACAGCTTTATCCACTGACTCCTCTTCAGTTGCTGAAATAACTGTGTCTGATAGTGCTGGTGATAGATCAGTTGCAGAAGATTATGCCACTGAAGCTAGTCTCATAGACTTTGATGAGACTTTCTATTCAGCACGCAGTGATACTGAATCTTTGTACCATTCCTGTGGTAGAGTTGTGATGGATTCCACAAACAGTGACTCTGTAGTGATTAGTGATGAGGATAATGGGAAAGAAGAAGAACTTGATGATGATGTAAATGAAAGTTTGTTTTTTACAAAAGATGCGTACAATCAAATCCACCAAGAGTTGACTGTTGAAGATTTGGAGAACAAAGAAAAGAGTTTTAAAGTTTTAAAGAAAAAAGAACAAGGTGATGACATGTTGAATGAAAGAGGAAGTGGAAAAGATTGTGATTCTGTGAGCATATCACCAACAGGAGCATTAACATCATTAAAATCAAAGATTAACAGTGTAAAAGTCAGTAACAACAATATTTTTGAAGATTTTATGGAGAGACCTCACACAAGTATAGTTGGCGACAGTGACTATATAGTCAAATTTGATGCACATGTTGAGGAGACTATTGTTGATTGTGGTTCTTCTACAGATTCTGGCATGCTTCCTTACAAGGGAGCAGACCAAGATAGCAGCTCTGATGAAGGTAAAGAAGAAGAATTTGATAAAGACAGGGACCAATTCATTAGCAGCAATAATTTTTGTCAAGAGGATGAAGGAACTTTACCTGAACGCTCCGATTCTTCCGATGAGGATCTGTTAACTCCGCCAAGATTTCTCTATGAAAAGACAAGGTTGAAACCAGATATTTGCACTCCTGAAAAAGGAGTTGCTCCAGCTTATTTTACCCCCTCCCCAGTTGCCAGAGGAGAGGGAGAGGAGAAGACTGTCAAGTATAAACTCTCATTTGACAAGTTAATTGCTGACAAAGCAAAGCACAGAGAAAGGAATGCTGAACTTGCTAAGATGGAGGAAGAGTTACAGCAAGGGATAGATAATGGAGGCATTGGTCAACTGCCGGTTCCAAGTACCTTCAGTGACATAGAATCAGAGGAGGAACTGACCGATGGTAAGTTTCCTTTGAGTGGATAACTTGGAGAGAGACACACCCCTTAACACCACCTGCTAAATTCATCATGAAAGAAGGAGTACAATGTAAAATGATAATTCAAATTAGTCAAATTCTATGATAAGAATTGTCATCTCGTGTCATTCACAACAGTTTTGGTCTTGGTTGAAAAAAATTCTGAAAAGATTTTAGCAAGACAAGTAAGGAATTTACAGCAAGGAGGATTTTTGTTTGAGTAACTATTAATAGTGCCCCAATTATCTCCCAAAGTCTCAACCAGTTAAATTTTGTGCTTATTACACTATACACTTCTTAACCCAAGTATCAGGCCTTTTAATGGGGGTTGGGGGTTAGGGTTTAGGGGGGAGGGGAGGGGAGGGGAGAAAGGAAGGCCTGACACAAAAGCCATTAAAAGTCGTGTCAAACATTCGGATTCCGAATGTTATTTTGATTTGTCACTTAAACAGTAGGAACCCAAAACGGAAGTGAAATTCCACATGTAGGTGCCATGCTCCGCCATCTTGTTTTTGTGAGACGTGACAGACGTTATTTACCATATTTCTTGTTAAAAAAAAAGTCTAAATGGATCAGGAAGAATTTGAAAAAGCCCTCGAAGAAAGCCTCAAGATATTTCCTGGCATCTCGCTGAAAACCGAGCAGAAGCGATGCATGCAATATCTTAAATGTGAAAATTCATTAAGTTATAATAGCTCAGGATCGGCGGATATTCTCTATTGTCACTCGTGTTAAGATACTTTTATTTTAAAATCAGCTTATCTTCGAATAATGAAGATATATTCTTAGACAGTAGTAGTCATAAAAGAAGCATTGTAACCCAAGTAATTTTAACAGTTTTAACAATCAAAGAATTATTCTGATCAACGTAAACATGCTTTCAGCCTTACCTTGACTAAAGGTGGCACGTTTACATCACAACATACATCAATGTTCATTAGATTACTAATAGCATCTTCAACTGAAGTTTCATCAGGTCTGTATGTGCTTTGAATAATTATCTTTTACTCGAAAGTTCCGTTGTTGTCATCGTTGTTCCATTGCGCGTTGGTTTTCGGCGTTTTCCCGATGGAGTTACACCCGTAGGTGAAAGTTCATGAATTACCGCCTGCTGAATTCTTTCAGGGGAACCTACGCCATTAACTGCTTCTTTTAAAGCTTCCTTGAGCCCTTTAGATATCTTGTAGCAATTAACTACCTTTCTGGCGCACTTCACACACACGAAACATTGATTGGAAGCTCGGATGTTTATGCCGATAAACCAAAGAAGATCGTGTAATACAAGGGATTTCTTCCCAACGGAGTTTAAAAGCTCTTTGTTTGTTGTTTCGGTTAACAAAGGAACTGATGCAGCTTGTTTCACCTTACTATCAAATTGATTTTGCAGATTTTTTATTCTTTTTTACATTCAGTGACACACTGTCAAGGGCTTAGACGATTTCATGCCAAAAAATGATCTGGCCATGATGTGTGTTTTGACGTGACAACATGACAACCTAAGTGATTGTGATTGGCTACTTTTCTTACATCAACGGGGAGTCTAAGAAGGGGGCGGAATGGCTTCTAGATTGTTTTGTGTCAGGCTCTCCCCTCTTTCCCTCTCCCCTAATTTTTCCCCCGAGAGCCTGATGTTTCCCCCAAAAGCCTGATACTCAGGTTATACACTTCTCCAAATAAGAGTTTTATACCTGTTCTTTTTTCGTTGTTTATCCTTAGACAGGATACAAGTTATACCTTTTGTAAATTGGATACATTAGATCATGTTTGGCAGAGGGGAGTCCTGATAAGGATTGTTGTGGATAGGAAATTTCTTTGACAATTTGAAAGGAGACATATGATTCTGGCTATTATTGTGGTCAATTGGAATCTACTCAGATTGTCAAAAAATTATTTGCTGTCACCAGCAACAGTCTATAAAAAGACTGCATTTACCTTCAACTAGACAATCACATCACACAATCGACATGTACCCATACTATTATTTAAACAACAATTTTTTTCACAAGAATATGTATATTATAACCACTCATACAATGGATTTGTTGTGTTGCTGTGCAAGATAGTCAGTACACTTGAAGGTTTGAACAGTACTTACACTCATACTTTTACCTTCGAATGCAGATGGACGTGACCTGAGAGACTGCTCCTTACCTCAGGACTTTAAAAAGTTTCTTGTGGAGGTGCATGATTTTTCTGAAGAGCTGCCTGGAGAGGATATTTTCCCAGTGTTTCATCCTAATGTTACAGTAAGTTTCTGAAGTTTCCATTGTCTTTCACAGTTGAATTCAATGGCTGACCCTCTCTTAGAAAATATATCTACTTATTTTAAAAGTGTTATGAGAGCATTACACTTGATTGTAATGTTTTTTTGTTCAGTCTCAAGATTTTCCCCATCTGTCAATGGTTCCTCATCCACATGGCAATTCTTTTGAGGCAAAGCTGGTATCAGCTTCAGACATTGAGCTGCAGGAGTTGTTGTGTGGAGGATGGGTACTGCAGCATTACCTGGATACACTCTGCCCATCTGAAGTGGCAGAATGGCTATTCCAGATCATGTGTCGTCACACAGATCAGCATATCATCAACACATGTTTTCAAGTCCTTTGGATCATGCTGGAAGCAGCTACAGAGGTAGATGTACATCTAGCACAGTGCTTTGAGGGGCTGCCATGATGAAAAAATTAATGTTCTCATTTTCACTCATTACGAATTTTTTTTACGGGCCTAAAGCAACATATAAAGCTTATTTGGTATGCAGAATGACAACTAACTTCCAAAGCAAAAAAATCTTGTGTTGCACACAGAATTACATGTAATGTGGTTCATACATTATGGAATTACAACTTTCGAGACCTTGCTTTCTCTTTTAATCTTGTTCTCCCAAAGCAATTCAAGCAGAATAGGATCTGGTAATGGTAGACAGTTTAAATGAAACATAGTTGGAAAAAAATGATCTTGCTCTTGGAGACAAGGCTTAAAAATGAAGTGAGCACTCTTTGGCAAAAATAGCATCCAAATCAAGAACTAGTTGAAGGTTCAATTTTTATTTAAGAGTGCTTGCATCAGATTTAAGTTAGTAGAGGTGTATAACCTATGGCAGATGTCTTTGTGAAACACTCCAAATAAGGTATGACATGTGCAAAATTTCCATTAGTTTGGGGAATTAACTCGTAGACTTTTGGATGGTGTTTTACATAAGTCCACTGTGTTTAATTTACATTGATTCAAGGTGGCATGAAAACTGTTGTTTATTGTAACAGTGATTTGTTGTAATCTTGTCTCATAGAGCAAATGACATGTATTCTTTATCGCAGGATAGAGATGATATCCCAGCAAACTCCAGAGGTACCCTGTGGGTTCCTGGTATCAAGACAGTCTTAAAAGAGCTGTTTTCCTATGGTGCTAGGATTCCAAGGCTTTATCCTGGAGAGCTTGTTAATCAATTGAATATAAGTGAAGTTTTGTTAAGTGAGAACTCTTCAGATGCAATCCATATGGAAGAAGAAACAGTTGGAGGTGTAATGCAGACTGAATCTTTTCCTCTAATCAATGTGATGCACCTTGTTCAGCTGCTTACTCACAGTCTTCAAAAGTGTCCTCAGTTGTACACTGTTCAGGATTTAAGAAACCTCATGGTGCTGATGTGTCGCTTGGCTCTAGATACTAGACTTCAAACTGTAGTGTTTGATATTGAGATGTGTATTGCAGCAGTGCTAAGCTGTTTTGGAGAGACACAGTGGCCTGATGAGGTACTGACTCTAGTGTCTCTGTTGGGCTATCAGTTATTTAAGCCTGTCAGGCGTGTGAGGTGTCTTCCCAAACTCTGATGAGAAGGCTTGCTAACTGTAAATTAGCAAGATCAAACCTACAATCAGGACAAGATCTAAATATGTGATGCCGAGCACTTAGATAAATACCTTATTGGAAGAAAACATCTCCTCTCCTTTTACAATCATGTGAGGAAGTACTCTCATAGGAGAGAGAGGAAGACAAAATGGCTCTATAAATTAATGTAGAGCAAAAATAACTGCACTATTTGAAAATAATGAACAGATTTGTTCAATTGTCTTGATGCTTTTTCTGTGATTGGAGGCTTACCAAAGAGCCATTTAGATCTCTAGCGGGAGTTTTGTGAAGGTTAACTACGAATGAGTCAGTAAAATTATTATCTTTTCCATGCACTGATGGCTTCCAACCTCACAACTGCAGCATTCTTCTCCCTTGCCTCTAATCATGCTAGGAGATGGCTAGTTCTACGTCGAGTGGCCTTATCAAAAGGCAATTATTTCTGGTTTTCAAAGAGCAGTGAACTCTGTATGCAGAGTAGAGTTGACTGAATGTGTGACATGTTTGTACATTTCAGATTAAAGAGTTGTGTGGTATTTTGACAAAACTGAGCACAAACCATCGGAACCTGTTGCATCTTGTGGAGATTCAGCCCCCATCAACTTATGGCATTGAGCTTCAGCGCCATCTTAGTTTGACACTGGTTCACTGGTTGGTGCCCAAGTTTCATAGCCGTGAGGAAATTGAAGAAAACCCAGATGGTGACAGATGCAACGGAACTGTTCCAGACAATGTTGAGGTGAGATGGTTGGATGAATAAGAAAAAAATAATACCAACCATTGAATTCTAAAGATCTTGTTCTTTATTCTCTCTCCCCTCTGGCATCTACACATTTTCTGGTAAATTAGTTACAGGAGTTGGGTTTTAGATCAAGATACCTTCTAACTGACAAGTTTGAGTATTCTCATTACCTATTTGCTGGATAATGTATGGATATTATAGGGAGAAGTTACATGTTAATCATGACTGGGAGTTAAAGGGTTAGCAGGTTAATGAGAATTAGTTTATTGCAACAACTGTGAATAAGTGAACCCTTTCACTTCCGGGAAAAGAAAAAAGGGCACCAAGAAATTACTGTTAGTATCAAGGGGGGTTTGTGTAAGTGGTGAAGAGATTTTTGTTAAGTTGTGTGGGTTTTTTAAAATTACAACCATTTACATACAATTTACAGTCACTTTGTGGTAGTCTGCTGTGATAGGGAAACATGCTTGAGAGGACCTGTTGAGTGTAACAAAGAATGAACACGATGATATTCCTAGGGAAAAAATATAGTCCCTTTGCAATGTCCATATTCATGTACTGTTAAATCAAAAAGTTAAAAACCTGTACTTGCAGATTAGGGCATCCTTGATGGTTGGAAAGGGAAATGGTAGTCTTAAAATTTGCTGCAATGCAACATTTTTTAAAAAACACAAGCTCTCAGTAGGTCAAGGAATTCCTTTTTTTCTGCCCATTTTTTACAGGTAGCCAGTTTGATTAAACTTGTATCGCAGATTAAACCTACAGATGACTCAGACTATTTCTTGTTGCACACAATTATCTCATTGATCAGCTTTGCTGTTGGAAGTGAGGACTTGCCATCTAAAGAGAGGGTAAATCATTATTCATGATTAAGCTATCAAAGCCTTTTGAAGTACTTTTCCAGTGAGTAGAGGCAAATGCAAATGATAAGGAATTTTTCCAAGTTTCAAAGTGGCTAAACATTTCCTCAGACCTCTCTTAAAGAAAATTTTCATTAATTGTTTTACTTTTTCAAGATACTGTATATGTATATAGGATTCTCTTGAACAAGCATGGGGACCAAATAATTGTAGTTCTCAAAACAGGAAAGTTTCCAAAAAATATTTCAACAGTTTTCATTTCAAAGAAATCACCTTGAATTAAAAGTTTTCATTGACTGAATTTTTTGCATGAATCTCACCAGGTTACACAACAGATTAATTTTTTAGACTTCACAAATACACATTTTCACCAGTGGGTATACAAGAGTACCATGGTACCCTTACCACCTTAAATGTAAATGTGTGAGACCTGACATATGATTGAGTTATTACTGTCAGTGGCAATAATTATTTTCTGGTTATATTCTTTATCAAGCCATCTCTGGAAAAGTTGACCAACAAGCTGAGAACATTGAATGGGGATATCAAAGATCCAAGGGCTGCATTCATGAGCAGAACCAAGGTACAATGGATTATTGATGTTTTCATTCAATATGAGGGCTAGGCACTTTACCCTCACATTTCTCCTCTCCACCTTGGAATCCTTAAAATTCACCCCATGAGAGTGACCAGCATCTAATTTCTCCTTAGTATATCACTCCTGAATCAACACTATGGTCACGAGAATAAAGGAAATGATCATCAACTAGAGCAGCTCTTGATTGTTAAACAAGTTCTCCTTATGAGCACCTTAGGAAATGCACAAAGAACAGTGTGGGGAATATGTATACTGATGTTAGGGTGTAGAGGGAAGCCTGACAAAAATAATGATGAGGGGTATTAAGCTGCGAAGGACAAGCATCCAACCCAGGTGGAGTAAAAATACATCCAGGCACTTCATGGCACAGAAGCCAGGATAAGGAGTGACTGAGTGTGCTCTCTGATTCAAATGCAGACTTTACTGTTCTTCAATAGATGTGATGGTCTTTATGCCACTGAGGTTCACCCTCTATGATTTAGGACTTTTAATCTCTTACTTGGAGCTTTGCTCTCTTAAGTTTGCCCTTTTTTTTTTTTTTTTTTAAGGTGAAGGATCTTTTAGTAAGGACAATCTTTAGGCTGGCAAACATGGTTCAGTGTATCAAGCCACTCAAAGAGGTAGTTTTTATGTAATTAATTACTCACTATTTGATCATTTCTATTCACTTCATTAATCAGATACAATGAAAGATATGAAGTTCATATATTTTGAACTGCGGTATTAGATACATAATTATGATACACGATCCTCGCAGTAGATAGCGCTATTTAAGCAATAGCGAAAATCAGACCTGAAAAAAATCAGGCCTGTATGGGATTCGAACCACTGACCTCTGTGATACTAGTGCAGTGCTCTACCAATTGAGCTAACAAGCCAACTGGGAGCTGGCCGTTATGTTGATTCGTAATAAACCCGTGAAAGTGATAAATCAGATACAATGAAATAATTATATGAAGTTCATATATTTTGAACTGCGGTATTAGATACATATGATACACGATCCTCGCAGTAGATAGCGCTATTTAAGCAATAGCGAAAATCAGACCTGAAAAAAATCAGGCCTGTA